TTCCATGAACCACTTCCATCTTTCCTTCCATTTCCTATCTTTTTGTTATTTTCTCTCTTGGGGTTGTTCAATTTTGATAGCTCATTACAGGAAAAGTGTAAATGCCACGAATTTAGCAGTGAGGTCAGTCGAAAGGTCATTCTTTTATCTTTAATTTGCATATTCGAAGTGATTATATAAACATAAACTTAGTTGCAAAATGAGTAAATAGTTGCAGCATGAATTGAATAAGTTTCGTCAATTAATCACTTTTCTCTGAAACGCGTGCACTTGTTTAAAATTGGATATTAAAAAAAAGGGAACCCTTAGCTTTTATACGCTTCCATGAACCACTTCCATCTTTCCTTCCATTTCCTATCTTTATGCTATTTTCTCTTCTATATATTTTTTTTTAATTAGGGAATAAGGGCGAGTTCGCAAATGCAATTTAGTCGAAAGTTTCGGCAGAAGTAGTAGGATGAGGGTATATAAGGTGAACTGATTTCGGCTAATGGGGTTCGGGGCAAACTTTTCGATCGCGAAACTTGTCTATGCTGCTGCTGCTGCATCTTCTCTTCCGAATCGGCACCGACATAAATATTCGGCCGCCGTTTCAATTATCGAAATGCGTTCTTCGCCCAATCCCTCCCCCCCAAAAGGATCGAATGGTGGAGGACATTCGAAGGGTGGTTTTCGAGAAAACTTCCGTGCATGTTAGAGAAAGAGAAATCCACCCACCTCCACCCCACACGACACACTGGGAAATGTATAACTTTCGCAGTAAGGAACCATCCCCCAACAAAACACGTGAACGAAAGGGGAATAAAAATACTTGCTTCCATCTAGTTTTTTTTTCTTTTCATATTTTCTGTTCACTCCGCGTATCACATTTTTTTTTTAAAGGAAACTTTTTGAAATTCAGATTAACCCCGGATATGAATATATGGATGATTTTTCTACAGCAAACGCGTAGAGCGGCGACCGGAAACGGAAACTCACCTCTGTGTCGGTTTGTTTGTTTGTCGAACATCAGCATGGCGTCCTCGATCTGCAACAAAAAACAACAGAAAAATAAAAATCATGAAACAAATTGCTTTCAAGGGATTCATGTTTACTCGTAATCTGCATATTCGTAAATAATTTGTAAAGTGAAAATTAATAAAATAGTTGGGATTAAAGTTTTTTTTTCTACTGATTTGCTATGGAAATCTGTTGGAGGTTGAATTCAAATTTATTTTAAACAGAGGGTGAAGATTAGATTAGAAATGCGAGAGTGCTCCAATAGTTTTGTAATCCGAGCGTTTTATAATAAAATCCGCGCGCCGTTTCTCGGAGAGGAGAAAAGATTCGTTGAAGCTGCAGAGATTATGTTCGAAATCGACGTGTTTTTTTTTTCTTCTTCTTCGATTGGATGGATGATACGAAGAAGACGGCTTCATTCGAGATGCACGCGGCTGTAGAAGCGGCGGCTGCTGCGATAATATGTCAAGAGTGGAGAGGTGTATTTGCATTCCGGCGATTATTCGAGGCACGAACGAAAACCCGAATATATTTAATAGAGAAATCGCGAAATGTTATTCCGTTTGATGGAATCACACACACACAAAAAAAATAGAAGTTGTATGCGAAGAAAGCGTGGGCGGAAAGGAGGAATTAATCATCATCGCTTTTGTCAGCAATTGTTCATTAAAAAAAAAGTGTGCGGCTTTAATTAAAGCATCCCTCTGCGGGTGTTTTTTACCCCTATTAATCCGAACGCGATGAAATAAGTCTTTCTCCCTTTCTGCTTAGATTTGTACATTTTTTTTTCAATTTTTCAGGAAAATATGCACAAAGTCATTGGGTTTATTAAAAAAAGAAATAAATTTTTGCATTTAACAAAAAAAAAACTTTAATTATTATACTTTGGACAATTATAAATCTATTATGTAAAAACTAATTACTTGATTAAATAAATTATTAAATTTGATTCGTCTAATTAACGAATTTGTTGCATAATAAGTTGTTTTTTTTTTATATATAAGATTATAAACAGTATATTATATTCTCGCAGGGTGTGAAAACCTTCTGGGGTAATATTTTCGTTAATTCGGTTCTTAAAAAAAAACGGGATTATAAGTTTGTTGCAGAATGCTTAAAGAGCAATATACCTGGAGGCGGCCGTAAACTTGCAGCGTTTTCCGTTTACGCTCCTTCTTTACGGTTTTAAAAATAGTCACTGCGATTCAAGCAAGCGAGCAAACAGGAAAGAACGTAGAAGAAGAAAAAATATATATGAAGATAATAATATAGTTCATACGTATACTTTATACGTCCTATAGTCAAAACTATTAAAGTATTCATGCTGCTTTTATTATAGTTATATTTATATAATATTATTAGATTTTTTTATATAATTAATAAAAATTATAATATTTTACATATAATAACAATTTGCAATTCTCATTTTAACTGAAATCTTATTAAAAATAAAGCAGGAAACATTTTTAAATTAGACAAAATTAAATTTCTTAAATAAAATAAATTGATCAAAATAATTACTAATATTTGTTCAAACATTCATCTGAGTTGATAAAAATGTATAGTTAATAAACTGTAAAGTAAAATCACTTAGTGAAATTAAGAAGAAATCTGCGACAAAAAGGAATTGCAGTTGTATATGATTGTTATGTTAATGTACTTCAATAAGAGTAGTTTTCTCTTGAAAAGTATAATGCTGTATTTCATCCAACGGAAGGATTTCGTCTTATAAATAATGTATCAAATAAGGGATGATGGACTTGTGCTTCTAGATGGTCTCGGCGGTTACGAAATAAGACAGGGAACGTCAATTATTTGCAGAGCGGAAGAAGAAGAAGTGGTGGTGGAGAGAAGAGAAGAGGTGGGTCAAGTCCTTGCGAGTTTGGTTTATTTTACTTCCATTCCGGAGTTTTGCGAGGGTGGTTGGCGTGGCAGGATGTGCAGCAGGAGCAGCAGCCGTGGGGGAGCTTTCGAGATTGCACAAGAGATCCCGGGAGAGACAGGAATACCAGATAGAAAGAGAGAAAGAGAGAGAGAGAATATAATTCTCATCCCTCCACGAACCCCGGGCTTTCGGTTTGGTTTGGTTTAGCTCGGGCAGAGAGAAGTCCGGATGCAAATGCGAAACCCTGTGGGACTTTCATTAAACAACTGGCTGTCCACATTCGCAACATCCCCGGGATTATCCAAAATTCCCCCGCCAACTTGCACCTTACATGCAAATTACCTTTAATATTTTATGGCGTTTGTGATATGTCCGGGATTATTTGATTATGAAATTCCACGAGAGAACTTTGCGACCTCCAATATAATACGTAGACACAACACAACATAACACATAAACAGCACATTTAGCCCACACACAGGATGCTCCGCCTATCGATTGCGTAATCTATTCAATTACAGTTAATTTATATTGCTGTGACCAAACGGCACAATACATTACAAGCTCATGTTTATCCAAGTTTACCTTCTGGTAATGACGTATAATCACATTGCTAATTATACCCAAGCTCACCCTCTTCAATTAATTGCTACACAACGAACCGCACGACCATCATCCCCCCCCATAACCCCTATAGTCCACCGCCCAACCAGTACTCGTGACATTAATATGTATAACTCTTGTGAATCCTTGAAAACGGATAACTCTCATTCCAACAACCCCAAAAGGGCGTTACAAAATCCTTCGTTCTTAATTGAATCCCGGTCGAGCGAAACTTTAAATTAAATCATATTATATAAATATTCAGCACACACACACAAAAAAAAAACGATATTGTGTTTCGAACATCCCTCTTTCTCGAATGCATCCAGATTACGATCCCCACAGACTTCTCCACCCAACGACTTTTCTCCTATTGAATTATAGGTCGACCGGGCTTGAATGTAAATGCGCTTGCCTCACCTTTCCTTAAGATTTACACGACGACCCGGATAAGATTACAAAGGCCACCATTAGCTGTTTCCATCTCGCTCCCTCGCATCGCACATAACAAATACTACACACAAAGCGAGTCCACCAAACCCTCCCCCCCGCACCCCAAACACATACAGCTTTAATTAAAATCACGTACACAACATTCCGAACGACCGCCTCTTCAAAATCCAACCCCCCCCCCATCACCGCCCATAACACCAGACCCTGATCCATAGATACATTCCACCAGCGCACTTTTCCAATTTAAATTAATCCGGCCCTCCCCAACGCCAAAACCAATTCATCTTCGCACAACCGATTTCACTTTGAAAACAGTTTATTAAAAAAAAAAAATCAACAACACGAAACAATCTGGGTTACATCATTTTATCTTTTACAAAATAAACAAGTGTAAAAGTGAAATATTATTTAAATTATTTGAGCAAATACACATGCAAATTTAGCTACAAAGCTGCGAAACTTCATACGCGATAATTGCAAGACTCAATTACCGGGACTTTCTTAATTAAACTTAGTTAAGTGAGCAGCAACACGTTGCGAAAGCATCCGAATTAATAACACGTAATTGTTAATATTCTTTCTTTTTTTTATTAACAATATTATTATATAAATTTCGATGCTCGTTTAATTAAATTTAGTTATTTTTATTTTTATTATTATTATTATTACATTATTTTTTATTACGTCACGACGGAAACGAAACATTATTAAAATATGGCAGAAAATTAATTATTTTCAATTTTCGCTGCAAATACAGTAAAAATTAATTTAACATTTTGTTGTTGTCCGTCCGTCCGCCATTGTTTCAATAATTGCGCAGAAATGTTTTAATTAAAAAGAACGTACAATTTACTTTGCATTTATACACACACACACACATATTTTTTTTTATCGTCGCTGTTTTCCATTCATTATTTCCTTCCATTACTCTCTTGTTGTTGTTTTTTTTTCGCATTATTATTATTTTTTCGCTAATGAACAATTCATAATTACAGATGTATACGCGCATTTCCTGTTGTTCTTTGTTGTTGATGATGTTTTTTTTTATTGTTTTTTTTTGTTTGTTTGTAAATATTCAGTCTGCATGTGTTAATGTGCACGGTAATTGGAAATTTCGTTTTATTAATTAATACATTCTATAAATGACTTTTGTTTTTTAATTTGCAAATTAATTAGTTTCGACGACGAGCAGAGAAGAAAACAAAAACGCATAATAATAGTAGTAGTAGTTCGATTTTAATTAAAATACAAACCTCGTTTTTTTTTTTATAAATTTAATTGTTGTTGCGAAACACTGGGAATTATTAAATCGAGGAATTATTAATTTGAGGTTTAATTATAAAGTTTTTATAAATCGCGTATTGTAAAAATGCTTTAGTTTTGAGCCATTAAGTATTTGAAATGAAAAATCTATTGTAAGTGATATAATTTTGATGTCAATTTAAAATATTTGTTGGGTGGATGCGCCGGGATTATGCGAATCGTTTTAGGTTTGAATTCGTAGGGGATGGTGGATTCGCGTTGGGGTTTTCGGGGCGTTAATATTAATATTTGATTTGGGCGGAGGGCGCGTTTCTCTCTATATGCAAGTTGGGTCGAGGCTATTTTCCAGTTGACTTCACCTCCACTTGCCTCGCCTATCCCAGGGCATGTCCGTCCTTTTCGCTCTCGCTCCGTGCATCTCCTCTTCCATCCTGCTCACAGACTCCTCTGATAAATTACCAAACTCGCAGCCAGTGGCAGGTAATTCGGAAGGAACTTTAGAAATTCTTACTTCTTAACACTTTTCCGGGCTGAGAAGAGAAGGATCCAACCTCCTGAGGTGTTGGTTCAAGTTTCCAAAAACTCAACCCTCCGTAAAAGTTTCGCGCAATTATTAAAAGATCCCCCCTTCGGCTTCGAGGGTGGAAAGGGGTTGAATAGCCAGTAATCGCATTGTGGAAGCCTGCAAGTGGAGGCGCACCCAGGTGTCAAATTCCTGAAGCCTTTTTTTCTTTTCTCTTTTTGGGATTAAAGTTTGATGAGATAATGGCGCGCCCAGATCCCTATTTTATCCACATACTTCCGGTCCGATTCGTCCGGAAGAA